TCAAATATTCTCATTTCATTCCCACATACTTTTCATCGATCAACATGTCATAATATATGAGTAATAATTTATATAAATCCATGTATTATAATACATGTATTATAAGTACACCCTTCAATGTATCACAATACCTATATCATAATCATATCTATCAATTTGTCATGACTCACGTATTATAATCACACATATCATAATTTCATATTTATATCACTTTATTCACTTTTGTACATAACACCCTTTCTTCATTCGAGAACATTCCCACATTTTTCATCAATAATATAAATCCATCAATTTTAGCATATCCAGCTATCATACAACATCCATATTCAGTATATCATCTAACACAGAAATATCATCAAATAATTTCACACCACACAAATCAATACAATGTATCGAAGGTCGAATACCTCCAGACTCAGCTCAATCATACAATCCAATATACACACTTTCTCAGTAACAATAAAGTCATCTATCCTAAAGTCTGGCATAATCCAATATTAACTGTACGTCTACTATTCAAAAATATCAAATATCAATCTTAACTACCTTTGAACAATGTTCACTAGTAAAATCATAATATTTTCTCAAAATGGTTCTTGTTAAGAGCTTTTGCTATAAATTGTGTTTAACTAAAATAATCCTGAGTTTTCATGTCAAGAATCTCTATTCCTACACTTGAAATTTAAGAAAACATTATGATTATAGGGTTCTAATAGAAAAACTTAGTATTTTCAACCAAAGTACCAAAAAGAAGTTAGGGTTTGGGATCAACTCCCTTTACCTAGAAATGGGTCTCTTAGACCAAGTTTTCATAGAGATCTAACGGAGAGGCACAACGTCTCGATAGGGAATATCATTTTAAGGGTTAAGGTTTCCTTGAGTATCACAAAACATTAAACTTTAGATTAGAGAAAATTGAAAATAGGAATGAAATTGGAGAACCAAGTTCCAAAAAACTTACTTGGATTTAAATGGTTGAACCTCCAAGCTCAAATTCAAAGAAAAATTAAAGTTTAGAGGAGGATTTCTGAGAAAAGAAGGTGAGAGATCAGAGAGAACAAAGAAAAGGTCTGAACTTTGGATTGTAATCTAAATTTTCTAGGTTGAAGACCCTTAAATAACCCTTAACTCACGATATCCTCTTTTATGGCCCATATATTTATGTTTGGCCTTTATTTTATTTGGTTTTACACTGATTTATATATTAATTGTACAGTTTAGTATGAAGAGTGTAACATCTAATTTTCAGTACCCCTAATTTGCTGAATTTTGACAAAACCTTTGTTAAAATTTTAAAAATAAATTATTAGAAATTAGTCAAAGTGATTTTAGAGTTCTGTATTCATTAGATAATTTGTGATTTTCTAGAATTTTTCTGAAATTTTTAGAAAAATACCCAAATTGGCCTATTTTGTGGGCACCCTTGCCAAAATAAATAAATAAATAAATTAATTAATTAAATTTGACTTTAAAAGTGATTAGGAGAGAGAGAAAATGTTAAAAAAATTCATCTTATTCTCCAACTAGTTTCCCGTATGTGCCTTTCTCCATTTTTCTCCCAAAATCATCTCATTTTCAAGCCTCTATTTGAGGGTTAAACCTTGTTTTTCTTGAGGAGCTCCAAGAGGTAAGTTTATTCCTCTCATCCTCCTCTACACTTGTACGGTTTTATTTTTCAAAACGGTGCATTTTTCTTTTCTCCTCTTACTTGGCTACACTTGCATAGGAATGGAAAGAGTGTTATCATCTTGTTATTGTTGTGGTTTTACACCAAGAACACTAGAATCATGCTTGAAGTGGATGATTAAAAATGGTTGAGTTAAAAAATAAATAAATCCTTATTCGCACGTCTCTGTCCACTAAATTTTGGGACTTTTGTGGAGTGAATTAGGAGTTTATGTCTTCATAAAAGTTGTAGCCCTTTAAATTCTTGAAATTTAGCAACTATTTTCACATCAAACGGATATTTGTAGCTCAGGTTATGCCCATTTTACTATCAAGTGTCCTAATTGTCACCTTGAGAGATTGTCCTGTTCCAACAGTCACAGATTTTAAATTACTAGCATTGATATGTGTAAAATTAGGACTTGACTTCTGCATAAAAGTTGTAGGGAATTATAGGCCCAAAATTTAGAAATTGGTTTCATGTCAATAACTTATGTGTAGCATGAGATATAGTCAAATTACTAAGATATGTTCAGAGAGTTAGTGTAGTTGAGCGCTGTTGGAAACAGTCATTGTAAATTGCAAAGTTCTATTATTCTATAGAGTATTTGAACTTAATTCCTTCGTAAAAGTTGTAGATAAATGAGTCCTTGAAATTTAGAAACTGGTCCCATGTTAAAATATTAAGTATATCTTGAGTTATGACAAAAACATTGAACCATGTGCAACCTGCTCAAAAATTTTCCTTTCATAACTTTGACCAACTTTATTGCACAATCTATCTTGAATTAGACTTTGACCTTTCATCAATATTGTAGATAATTACGTTATTGAAATTTGGACTCTGACCTCATGCCAAAACAATTATGTAACTCTAGAAAATTCTAAAATACTGAACCTTGTTCATGTTCGCCATTAGGATTATTCCTACTCTAAGCATATACCAAATAGAATAATTTTCTAACTTGAGTGTAAGGTGAATGTGAACTTAACATATTACCAAAAATGGATTAAGAAAATAATATAGACGTAATAGGTAAGGGGTGGACTATATTGTAAGGCTTACATCATAAACTTATTTAACCTTATTTGTTGAGATTGTCTAAATTTTGTTATGATTGATAATTGTGGTTTCATTATATGCTTAATTTCAAAAATAATAATGGTTTGCTTATGTGTTTGGCTGTGAAAATACATGTTTTACACTTCATTAAGATATAAATTGTGTTATATTATATGAATTGTCTGTGAGTGAGCATTTATGTGCATGGTGATTTTTCATAGGAAAGTTTATTGAAATTAAATTGAAATGAATGGATGACGGGTTATGAACCCTTATAAACTGTATTGGGAAGTTTTCTGATTGTAACAGGTATCTGAAAAATTTTGGGATGTTCGTATTACAGGGGAAACTTTCTCGAAATTTTGAAAAATGTTTAGACTTAGAAATTTTTTTTATCATTTTCGAACAAATTTATAAATTTGGGAATATGAGACTTTTCTAAGAAAAACTCCTTAGGAACTCATACATTACTCATCTGAAAATGGTATTTTGTGCAAAGTGGGGAATCAGAGACTATGGACTCTAGGAATACGATAGGGAGGCCTTGAGGGAGGACTTGGGGATAGGAAGGGTAGTGGTTGGAAGCCCCAAAAGACTCAAGCTCGCTACTTGTTGTCGGGGATCCCACTATACAAACTCTTCTGTACTTAACTGCGCTCTTGTCGTATATCATGGTCAGAGTGAGCTACTAGGTTTATATTTGAGCGTGGGTCTCAATAATTCCATGGGTGAATTTTCTATACCTAGTAGTGTCAGCTCTAGATACCCCAGCACTGATTTAAGAAATGATTCAGGCCGCATGCATAAACATTTTAGAAAAACAAATTAGGATCATGCACAATCATCATCATTCATTTGGAATGCGATTGATTTGTGAATGTTTATGATGTATGATTTTAACATGATGTATGAACTATAGGTCATCCTATCGTTTCTCTATTTTTTTTATTTTCTCTATACCTGCAGTACTCGTTGGATTTGATTAGTCACTATCAGTAGCCGAGGGAGATGGCACAAATTCCACACCCAATGAATATGACGATTAGGCTCCTTAGCCCGAAGCCACACCGATGGAATCACAATTGGGATAGACACCCACACGTTTATGGCTGTACTTACTATATCACTGAGGAGAGCGGCACCAACACCTGGAGGCAGCAATGTACCTTTCACCATAAGGACTAGACTAACTCTTGACTTGGATAATAATAATCCTTTCCAGCTCATACCACCACCAATTCTCCCTCCAGCTGAGAAGGAGAAAATATATATTGAGGTTCCAGAGGACTATGACCCTCTAGACATTGATGAGTTTGATGATTCAGAGATGGGCTCAGATGAGGGAGATTCATCTCCTAAGTCTGAGAATATGGATTCAGAGTAGGACTGATACTACTCTACTTTTTGTGTATAGTGGTGAGAGTTAGTCATAGGCATTCTTTTGTTATACATAAGCCTATATAGTGCCGGGTAGTAGCCACTTATTTTATTTAGTTGTGCTGCTCTATAGGAAATCATCCCTGATGTTGCCCTCATTATTTTGAAGAATTGTAACTAATAGTTTATCTGTATATTAATCATATTTCTAGGTGAAATGATGATTAAGTTTTCCGGCATATAGTGGTGTGTAAGCGGGGAAATTATTGACCATTTTGCCTTTTGGATTACTGAAAAAAAAAAAAAAAGAAGCTATATAAACACTCATGAATGTTTACCTTGAATATTGTATGTAATGATGAAATTCAGAAATGATATATTGAGGATTGCATGTTAAAGTTTATTTTTGTGATTAATGACTTGATACATAGATATTACATATTAAGGGAAAATTATTGGTTTTATAAAATGTAAAAAAAAATAAATCATTATTCTTCTAATGAAAGGTTTCTGTAAAGTAGGATATTACAATTAGTGGTATTAGAGTAGTTTGGCCCTTTAAGCCTAAGGAAAGGTCTACTTATACTGTTATGCACTACCTGTAGTGAATTGTGTGTAGGAAATTACCATGATTTAATATCAATGATGATTTCTTGATAACTTAGTCGAATTTGATGCAGTGAATAGGAAACAATGGTTGGACGAGGTGCTGGATTAGCTGCTTCAGTGGAGAAATTAATTGCTGCAATGGAGCAGGACCGATAAGCTCGGTGCAACAGGACCGTGTCCCTCAAGGTGAAGATGTCTTGAGAAGATTGGACTTATTTGAGAGAGGAACCCTCCTCGATTCAAGGGAGGATATGATCAAGAAAGTGCACAGGTTTGGCTCAGAGAAATGGAAAAGATTTTTCGTGCCCTACAATGCACAGAGAATGACAACATTGTGTTTGCTGCTTATACATTAACAGAAGATGCTGAGTATTTGTGGGACGGAGTGAGACAAAGGTTGGAGAGGGAAGGCATAATCATTACGTGGCCCTTGTTTCAAGTGAGATTTTTGGAGAAGTACTTTTCAGAAGATGTTCGAGAGAAGAAAGAAATGAAGTTCTTGGCATTGACGCAAGGATCCATGAATGTAGGAGAGTATGCAGTAAAATTTGAAGAACTTTCACGGTATCACCCCCACTACCACAATGCCATCAACGAGAAGCCTAGGTGTGTGAAGTTTGTCAATGGACTTCGCCTTGAGATTAAGGAAGCCATAAAAATGCAAGAGATTTAGGAGTTTCCAACATTAGTGAATAGATGCATGATTTTTGAAGAAGACCATAAAGCAAGGATTGCTAAGTTCCAAGAACACCGTTTTGAGACTTCAGTGACAAAGAACTATGGGCCTCAACGCAATCAAAGGAGAGGGTTTGGAAAAGGCCAACCATATCAGAGACAACAATGTCAAAGGGGACCCATAACTGAGCTTTCTCAGAATTATGGTATTAGTGGAAACTATATGTTGGCCCCACCTAGAGGAAAATGCTTTGCTTGTGGAGGAGAACACTACAGGAAAGATTGCCTAGTAAAATAGTTAATATGCTTTAGTTGTAACAAGCTTGGGCATATGTCCTGTGATTGCCTGATGGTGAAGAAGGAAGAAGATGGAGGCAATGGAAACCACCACAATCAAAAATCCTAGTGGAGGGGTGGCTAGCAGGCCAAAGTATCTTCTTTGCAATGAGCGAAGAAAAAGTATCTCCTTCTAACATGATGATTGGAGGTACGTGTATCATCTAAGACACCCCTTTATATGTGATATTTGATTCAGGTGCATTGCATTCATTTATTTCTAGTAGTTGTGTGGAACAATTGGGATTGCCTACCATAGCATTGCCATTTAATTTGTCTGTTCATACCCCGAGTAATGACCACTGCTAAAGCATGCTGGGAGTGTCCTACTAGTATAGATGGTAGAAACTTTATAGTGAATCTCTTCTGCCTTCCTCTAAAAGGATTGGAGGTTATTTTGGGATTGGACTGGTTATCTAACAACCATGTCATCATAGACTTTTGTAGGAAGACTATTGTGTTTAGAGATTTTGAGTACAACAATTCTAAAAAGTCAAGGATTCAAAGTGCCAACTACGAAGATGTTCTCTTAAAGGAAAAAGTTTAGGGATTTATAATATCTTTAATGGCAGAAGGAGAGGAAGAAAAGTTAGTTGATGTGCCAATAGTGAGAGAATTTCCTGATGTTTTACCTAATGATATCCCAGGATTACCCCCAGAACGAGAATTAGAATTCAGTATTGATTTGGTACTAGGAGCTGTGTTCATGGGTTATAGGAATCAAATTTTTCATCCTTTTCTAGATAAGTTTGTAGTTATATTCATTGATGACATCCTTATATACTCAAAGAGCAAAGAAGAGCATGTTGAACACTTAAGAATTGTGCTACAAATCTTGAAGGAAAAGCAATTGTACGCAAAATTGTCTAAGTGTGAGTTTTGGCTAACTGAAGTAAATTTTCTTGGGCATGTCATTAATAAAGGAGGAATAGTTGTTGATCCAACTAAGGTTGAGGCAGTCTTGAAGTGGGAACAACCAAGGACGGTCACTGAAATAAGGAGTTTTCTAGGATTAGCGGGATACTATCGAAGGTTTATTGAAGGTTTTTCTCGATTGGCCTACCCATTAACCAAGTTGACACAAAAGGGACAGCCTTTTGCGTAGACTCCACAATGTGAGACTAGCTTTCAAGAATTGAAGGGCCATCTTACTTCCTCACTAGTGTTAATTTTGCCAAAACCTAACAAGAACTTTGAAGTGTATTGTGACACATCTAAGTTAGGATTGGGTTGTGTGTTGATGCAAGATAGAAAAGTAGTGGCATATGCCTCTCGACAACTGTGACTGCATGAGATAAATTATCCCACTCATGATTTAGAATTAGCTGCAGTGGTATTTGCTTTGAAGATTTGGAGACACTATTTGTATGGAGCACGATTCATAGTGTATAGTGACCCAAGAGCTTGAAATATCTCTTTGATCAAAAGGAATTGAATATGCATCAAAGACGATGGATAGAATTCTTAAAGGACTATAAGTTTGAATTGCAGTATCATCCCAAAAAAGGGAATGTAGTTGCAGATGCACTTAGTAGAAAATCTTTACATGCAACATTTATGATGATAAGAGAAATGAAATTGATCAAAGAATTTCAAAGTCTGAATTTAGCAATAGAGTTCAGTCCCAAAAGTGTTGTATGTGGTACTCTCACGATCACTAATGATTTTCTACAACAAGTACAAGAAGCTCAATCTGAGGACATTTTCCTTTGTGAGAAGAAGGAATTAAATAAAAAAAAGGAAAAGAAATAAAATTTGTGGAAGGAACAGATGGAATCTTGAGTTTCAAAGGACGAATCTGTATCCCTCATTGCCAGGAATTGCAAAAGACCATTTTGGAGGAAGCACATAAGAGTAACATGAGCATTCATCTCAGAACAATGAAAATGTATCAAGATTTGAAGAAACTATTCTAGTGGCCTGGAATGAAAAAGAAAGTAATAGAGTATGTTGCAGCCTGGTTGGTGTGTCAGAAAGCCAAAGTATAACATCAAAGACCTTCAGGGATGTTACAATCATTAGATGTACCAGAATGGAAATGGGATAACATAGCTATGGACTTTGTAACTTCATTACCTCAAACGCCAACTTGTCACGATTCTGTGTGGGTAATAATTGACAGATTGACAAAATCTGCTCATTTTATTCCCATCAACATTTATTATTCCTTGGAGAAGCTAACTCAGTTATATATTAAGGAAGTGGTAAGATTACATGGCATACATGTTAGTATTGTATCAGACAGAGACTCGCGTTTTACCTCAAAGTTCTGGATAAGTTTACATCAAACTCTTGGGACAAAGCATCAACTAAGTTCTACTTATCATCCTTAGACTAATGGACAATCAGAGTGGACCATCCAGTCTTTGGAGGACCTACTACGAGCTTGCGTGTTGTATCACAAAGGAAGCTGGGATAAGTTCTTGCACTAATTGAATTTACATACAATAATAACGCTAGCATTTGAATGACCTCGTTTGAAGCTCTTTATGGTAGAAAATGTCGGACACCATTGTGTTGGTTCAAGACAGGTGAAAACTAACTAATAGGTCCAGAATTGGTGCAATAGACCACAGAGAAGATTAAATTAGTTCAAGAGAAAATAAGAGCAACTCAAAGTCGAAAGAAAAGTTACTGTGACAAAAGAAGAAAGCCTCTGGAGTTTCAAGAAGGAGATCATGTATTCTTGTAAGTCACGCCTACAACTGGGGTTGGACGAGCAATGAAGTCAAGAAAACTCACGCCCAAGTTCATTGGCCCATACCAAATAATGAAGAGGATTGGTCCAATAGATTACCAAGTGGCTCTACCCCCTTTCTTTCCAACATCCACAATGTCTTCCATGTGTTACAATTACGAAAGTAAATTTCAGACCTTTCTCATATACTTGAGTCGAACATTGTACGAATGAGAGACAATCTTACTTATGAAACGCCACCTATCCAAATCGTTGATCGAAGAATTAAGCAACTCTGCAGAAAAGAAATTGCTTTGGTTAAAGTTATTTGGAGTGGAGCGGGAGATGAAAATGCTACTTGGGAGTTAGAGGGAAAGATGAAGGAATCTTATCCTCAATTATTCACATCAGGTACGCAAATTTCGAGGACAAAATTTAATTTAAGGGAGAGAGTTGTAATATCCTAATTCTCAGTACTCCTGATTTGCTGAATTTTGACAAAACATTTCTCAAAATTTTAAAAATTAAATTATTAGGAATTAGTCAAAGTGATTTTAAAGTTTTATATTTGTGATTTTCTGAAATTTTTTTAAATTTTTTTAAAAAATACCCAAATTGGCCTATTTTTTGGGCACCCTAGCAAAAAAATAATAATAAATAAATTAAATTTGACTTTAAAAGTGATTAGGAGAGGGAGAAAATGTTAAAAAAAATCCACCTTCTTCTGCAACAAGTTTCCCGTAGGTGCCTTTCTCCATTTTTCTCCTCAAATTATCTCATTTTCAAGCCTCTATTTGAGGGTTAAACCTTGTTTTTCTTGAGGGGCTCCACGAGGTAAGTTTACTCCTCTCATCCTCCTCTACACTTGTATAATTTTATTTTTTAAAATGGTGCATTTTTATTTTCTCGCCTTACTTGGCTACACTTGAATAGGAATGGAAAGAGTGTTATCATGTTTTTGTTGTTGTGGTTTTACACCGAGAACACTAGAATCATGCTTGAAGTGGATGATTAAAAATGGTTGAGTTAAAAAAAAAAAAAATCCTTATTCGCACGTCTCTGTCCACAAAATTCTGGGACTTTTGTGGACCGAATTAGGAGTTTATGTCTTCATGAAAGTTGTAACCCTTTAAATTCTCAAAATTTAGCAACTGGTTTCATATCAAACGATATTTGTAACTTAGGTTATGCCCATTTTACTATCAGGTGTCCTAGCTGTCACCTTAAGAGATTGCCCTATTCCAACAGCCACGAATTTTAAATTATTGGGATTGATACGTGTAAAATTAGGACTTGACTTCTACATTAAAGTTGTAAGGAATTGTAGGCCTGAAATTTAGAAATTGGTTTCATGTCAATAGCTTATGTGTAGCATGAGATATAGTCAAATTACTAAGGTATGTTTAGAGTGTTAGTGTAGTTGAGCGTTGTTGGAAACACTCACTGTAAATTGCAAACTGCCATTATTCTATAGGGTATTTGAACTTAATTACTTCATAAGAGTTGTAGATAAATGAGTCCTTGAAATTTAGAAACTAGTCCCATGTTAAAATATTAAGTATTTCTTAAGTTATGGCAAAAATATTGAACCATGTGCAATATGCTCGAAAATTTTCCTATCATAACTTTGACCAACTTTATTGCACAATCTATCTGTAAATAATTAAGTGAAAGTCCTTATTTTAATTAATAAATCAAACAAAAATTCGTCTAACATGAAAATTACACTTAGAGAAAAAAATGATTTGACAAAAATAAAATAAAATGATGTTACCTATTTGAACTTCTAATGTTACTAAGATCTAACATGATTTTGCTTAAAAAATTGTGCTTGATTATATATTTAAAACTAGTTTGATTAAAATTAGATAAATATAGTTTTTTGATAAGTTTAAAATTTTACATTAGATTATTAATAATTTTCTAGACATAATAATTTAGATGGGGTAGGGTCTTCTTACGTCAATTTAAGTCTAAAAAATTCTTACGCTCAATCTGAGTCCTTCATTTAATTTACATCTAACAGATTATAATTTATTACTTTACTGACCGTTAGATGTAAGTTAAATGAAAGGTTCAGATTGAGTGTAAGAGTTTTTTAACTTACAGTGGTGTAAGAAGATCTTTTTCCAATTTAGATAGTAGTTTATACAATCTTATTTATTAATACTGGGAGTAATATAATCATTAAAAATAATAATTTGTAGTCTAAGATTATTATTATTATGGTCAAAGTCTTTTAAATGGTGTAATAAGACTATAATACTGAAAATTATATTTACATTAGTAATGAATAAAAATTATCCATGTTATGAAATGTATTTGGTGAGAATGTATTTTTTAAGAGAAAAGTAAACATAAGTCATACAGTATAAAGTTAATTAAAATTATTTTTTTAAGTTATGTACTTTTAAAAAAATATTTAATAGTAATTCTTTATTCATTTTTTTAAAGATAAAAAGTATTTAATTTTTTAAATTGATAGTAACCACTAATTGTATAAGTTTTAATTTTAATTATTTATGAATTTTTTTTCTTTAAAACTAGAGTAAATGAATTCTCGTTAAAAAGCCTTGTTTAAGCTAGAAATGTATTATTACTCAAGTGAAGAGTTCTCATTAGAGCAAAAAATAGATAGAAACCTAAGTTTGCTTCACGCATTCTCTCACAAGCGATCCCTCGCTTGAGTAAAAATGGATTAGAATCAAATTTTTCATTCTCATTAAACTCCTGAAATCAAGAAATTTAATAAAAAAAATTAAGAAGAATCTTTATTTCAATCTCTAAGTCAAATAAATTACTTAAATTCAAATTCTTTTAAATTAAATGGAAATTGCAATCTAAGTTCAATTTTTTAAAATAAATAAGTGCTCAAATTTTTGTAACAATTTAATAAAACTTGACCCTTATGTCTATCATGATATCATAAACTATTATATCTATCATGATTTATTATTGTTAAGATAAATCATAATTAGATGTTAAAGTAAGTACATTTTCTAATTTCTAACATAAGTTTTAACGCCAGGTTAGAGAAGTTATTATATTCTCTGGGTGGAGAACATCATTGGCTTATAATAATATACGCATACAGTTTATATAAAAGGAATTGTTGGTACGAAGAACCAATTGGCAAAATGTTTTGATCCTTATCACTTAATTCTATTGACAAATCAAGTAACAAGTTATTCCATTCTCCTTCGTTTCTCCATCAAAGTAGGGGCAACGAATGAAAACGGATTAACTGACTTATGAAATACATATTATTCTAATAATTAATGTGTTTGACAATATGAGAACAGTAATTTTATCATTTTAGCATTCCATTCCCTTCCATCGATATAAAGTATTTAAGCGACGGACTGCGAAATTTCTTTTATTCTATCATTCAGTTTTGAAAAAACATGTGAAAACTTTATTCATTTTTATCACATTATATATTATTCCATTCAACTTATTTAAAATATCAAGAAAAAGACCTTACTATTACAAAGGTAATCACTATAAAACTGTAGAGAAAATCAGAATACAAGCTCATAATAATTTTGAAGGATATTTGCCTCGCAAAATATGTACAACAGACCCAAACTATGTGCAAGGTTCTTTTACTTAGCTTCTCGACAGTTATTCTTATTTTGTTCCTCTTAATTGTGTTGCCAAACTCAAGAGTTGGGATGCAAAACTATAAAAGCCAATTTAAGTTGAAATCAACTTGGGCCACCCTAATTCTTAGATTAGGAAGGATTGTTCTTAAAGGATCCCATAACATAGCCGTCTCTTCATCACATACCACAACCAATAAACCTTCAAGGTCTGTGATTGAGTATGGAAGCTCGCTCAATCCCAAACAACCTCTACAATTGAGCTCTTTTAAATTACTTAACTCCCCCATGTTCTCAGGTAACTTACTAAGGCTTGTGCAATCAGAGATGTCAAGAAATTCTAGTTTTTGAAGGCTTGTGATTGAGTCTGGCAATTCTACTAAACTAGTACAGGAAGTAAGCCTTAGTGATTCCAAATTGACCAAATTTCCAATTTCATCAGGAAGTGCAGAAAGCTCATGACAGTTTCTGATATTTAGATTCTTTAAGAACACAACATTAGAGAAGCCGGTTGGCAATTCCACCATATCACAGTAGTCAATGTTTATTTCCTCCAAATTTGGCAGCACATCTGAAATTTGAACACTTCTATTTTTGAATGCTTCATTCACATTGCACATAGAAAAGGAGAATTTCTGCAGATTCTTCAGCGGCACTCTTGTCTTGCTAAGGAAAGGAATTGAAACCCTCTCTAATCTGATTCGTTTAAGACTAGGTAGACAATCAAGTAACTCGAAATTCTCTAAATCAGCATGAAAGAAGTCATAGTTTGTAATTATCAAGACTTTTAATTTATTCATTTTCTTCATGAACATAGGTAGTGTGAACTTCTTTTGTCGAATATTCAACACTAGAACCTCAACTTCAGTCGGCTGCAAGTTGCACCATTCTGAAGCAAACTCTTCATCTGCAAAAAAGTCCAATATTTAGTGAATATGTACACTCTCACAACTTGTGTATCATGCAGACAGAAAAATGAACAAACCAGTTGATATGGATAATATGCGGGCTGCAATGTGATGCTCATTCTGTGTAGTCCACCATGATGGAAGATTGTTTCCACTTATGTCAATAATTAGTCTATTCATCTTCTCTGTTGGCTCCTGGCTTGTTTGAAGTATAGCTAGATCTCGAAGAAGACCATTTTGTGTGACAAAGTGGTAATTGTAGTCAACTGTGCCACTTTCAACATTCCTAATCAATAAAATGAATTTAGTTGCTCTTAATTGAATGAAAAACACAGCCACAACAGAAAGTATCAATAATCCTGTTTCAAGGATGTTAAATTTCACTTTACATGCGCGCGGACACAAAGTTCTTTGCAAATTTTCAAGTTTGACCCTAAGAGATCAATCAGCATAAAATCAAGATAATATTGAAATAACTTTGAAACTAATTTTGTTGTCTTTTTTTTAGAGTTTTCTAAGCCAATTCTTCAAAGATATTGATTAAAAATTGATAAATATTTTTTTTTTGTTAGAATGCATTGAAAATCACCAAGAAAAATGCAATATTCCACTTTCCAATAAAAAATATTACATTGAATTTCATAACCGTTGTCTTTTGAACTCTAATTAGAACAAGTTTCTATTATTACTTTAAAGCATCTTGAGATATTGACAACAGCTCAAATGTCAAAAACTAATCCTAGGTTGTGGACTTGTGTAGGACCTATGCAATGCTCATTTTTCAAGTGCTGAGAGTTTTGGATGATGGGGAATGTGAAAGGTAGAATTTTTGCTTAAAGAACCTTGAACCTTGAACCTAGAACCTAGAGGTTAGGATTGAACATAGACATAAGTTCAATGTGATATTTATCTCTTTCTTGTTGCCATGCAAAGAACAGAATTTAACAAATTCAGGTATTCAACAGCTTTCTTTCTTGTGCATAAATGGAATTAAGCACCCTTAAAAGTTAAAACAATTATTATACCACATGTCAAACCTTTTAAGAACCACTGGTCATACCTTGTGACAACAATATCAGCCATATTTAGGTTGACTAGCTCATAGATTTTCTCCATTGCACTGACATCATCTTCATCATGCAGTGCCCACATATCAACAAGGGCAGCAGCAGGGATCCTATGGTCTTCAGGAAATAAGCTTAGGTTCCTAAAGCACTCAATGACCTTAGAATCCAAGGCATTTAAGGTGTTTTGGAGAATATGAAGCACATCGTTACTAGAATCGAGAATTGAATGGCCCGTGGACAATTTCTTCGCCGTACTGTGCCAGACTAAGAGTGGTTGATGACTTAGTGATCTACCACTCACTACAAGTGCCAAGGGAGAACCGCCACACCCTCTCACTATCTGTGATTTATTTAGCGTGATCAAATGAAATGAGAAATTACAATAAAAACACTTATCGTTTACCACTTCAGCTTTCTGTTATAATTAGCAGAAGTAAATGAAATAAGAAATTGTAAGTGAGATGGCTATTGTTTCGAAATTTCGATTTTGTTACGACTCTATTTAAGCATATAACATTAATATTTTTATTAAGAATATATTTACTATAATTTGAACAATTAGTTATTTTCTAATAATTTTTTATTTTTTTAAGAATTTGATTGGTGGACATTATAATTTGAATAAAAATAAAATAAGATTAAAACATGTTGACTGAAATGACCGGTAAAGATGACAAATCAGCTTTTTAATTTTCTTAATTTTTAGGCAACAGAGAATTAAATATATGTTAGTATCAAAATATTTGATTCCTTATTTTTTAGGCATTTGTTATGTTTATATGTAGCAGATTTTTTACACTTTTATCTCCCTTATTTGTCTATAAGTATATGATTTTGCAGCTTAATAAAATAAATGTCTGTGAAATGGATGCTGAAGCAATTTTTTCAACCCTTTATATGTTTTTAATAACCAACAATTAGTAATCGGAGTTGTTTTTGCATGGGGTCTGTGAAATGGATGCTGAAGCAATTTTTTCACATATTGTTCCTCCTATCTTTGATGGAGAAAGTTGTGAGTTTTGGGCTGTGAAAATGGAATTCTACATGGAGGCTTTAGATCTCTAGCAAACCATGGAAGAAGATTATGATGTTCCTTTGCTACCAGACAATCTCACCATGGCCCAGATTAAAAATAAAAATAAAAATAAAAAACAAAGAAGACAAAGACATGTCTATTTGCTCGTGTCTCAAAGACCATCTTCACCAGAATCATGACTCTCAAAATAGAAAAAGTGATTTGGGATTATTTTAAAGAAGAATATGCAAGAGATCAAAGGATATGAACCATGCATGTGCTAAATTGAATAAGAAAATTTGAGTTACAAAGAATTAAAGAGTCTAAAATAATCAAAGAGTACTCGGACAGATTGCTTAGCATTGCCAACAAGATTAGAATCGTACAAAAATTTCTTGTACCAGTACCAAAAAGGTATGGAGCTTCTATAGCTACTTTAACTAATACAAAAGATTTGTGTACAATCACATTAGCAAAAGTGTTACATGCATTGAAGGCACAAGAGTAAAAAAGGCTTATAATGCAAGAAGGATTTATGGAGGGTGCCTTTCAAGCCAAGTTGCAAATCAACAATAGTAATAAAGCTGGAGGTTTTGCAAACAACAAAAACAACAATCAAAGCAACAACACTCAAGTTTATCCACCTTATCCTCATTGTAAAAAAGCTAATCATCCTTTTCTGGTGGAGGCTAGACATAAGATGTTGTAAGTGTGGTCAGTTAGGGCACGTGGATAGGATATGCAGATCTCAACAACAACAAGAAGTCAAAAGTGGATAGATGCAATGAAAGAAGAGTTGAAGATGATTAAAAAAAATCAAACATGGGATTTTGTGGAAAGACCCAATCATAAGAAAGTTATTGGAGTCAAGTGAGTTTATAGAACCAAGCTTAATCTTAATAGTTCTGTAAACAAGCATATGGCAAGAGTTGTTGTTAAGGGATATGCCCAAATTTTTGGGACAGATTTTTTTGAAACTTTTGCTCCAATAGCTAGGTTGGATACTATAAGGTTGTTGTTAGCACTTGCTGCACAAAATAGTTGTGTCATATATCAAATGGACATAAAGTCAGCCATTTGAATGGATACATGCAGGAATAAATTTTCGTCGAACAACCACTGGGTTTTATTGTTCAAGGACAGGAGGAAAAGGTTTATAGACTGAATAAGGGCCTATATGAGCTTAAACAACCATCAAGATCATGGTATAGTAGAATTGATGAACACTTAGGGTACTTAGGCTTTGTAAGAAGTCCAAGTGAATTTGCCTTGTATGTCAAAAAGGTTGATAATGAAATAATTGTGATATCTCTTTATGTTGATGATCTATTTGTTACAAGAAGTCACAAGGTGCTAACTGAAAAGTGCAAAGAAGAAATTAATGAAAAATTGAGATGACAGACCTTGGAAAGATGACATTCTTCCTTGGTATGCAAGTGCAACAAAAGCAAAATGAGATATTTGTGTGCCAAGAAAAATATGCAAAAGAAGTTCTCAAGAAGTTCAACATGGAGGATTGCAAACCAACTCCAATGAATCAAAAGGAGAAATTTGGAAGTTGCAAGGGTTGATGGAAGTGTACAGAAGTTTAATGGGTTGCTTGATATATTTGACAACAACCAGGCTAGATATTATGTATGTTGTGAGTTTACTAGCAAGGTACATGCAATGTCCTACAGAAATTCATTTTTAAGGAGCAAAAAGAATTCTTAGATATGTTAAAGGAATAGTTGATTATGGAATAAGATTAAGTCAAGTTAAAAGTTTCAATCTCTTTGACTATTCTATAGTGATTGGGTAGGATGTGTTGATGAGATGAGAAACACCTCATGTTATTGTTTTATGTTCGGTTCTAGAGTTTTTTCATGGTGTTCTAAAAAACAAGAAATTATAGTTCAATCAACAGTAAAAGCAGAATATGTAGCTATTGTTACTGCTGTGAACCAAGCTCTTTGAATCTGAAAACTCAAAACTTGCATATGGAACAAACAGAAAGCACATAGATATATGCGGTCAACCAAGATAACACTTTAATTGCTAATGATCCAATGTTCTATGAAAAAACAAAACACTTCAAAATCAAGTTTTTCTTTTTAAGAGAAGTTCAGAAAGATGAAGAAGTACATCTTATCTATTGTAGAATTGAACATCAAAGTGATGACATCCTAACAAAGTTACTTCCTAAAACTAGGTTTGAGTTATTGAAGAAAAGACTTGGAATAAACAACTTGAGTATCAAGAAAAAGTGTTGACTAGAATCACTATGAAGCTGTCAGATCAGTTTTTTAATATTCCTGATTTTTAAACAATAAAGAGTCAAATCAAAGTATTTGATTCTCTAGTTTTTAAGGCATCTATTACGTTCAAATTAAAATTTCCCGCTACATATGTTTTCAATAACCAACAAAATAAGAGAGGTTCTTATCGTATCTTACCATTAAAATTAAATGCATAGATTTTGTAACATAATAAAAGGGCAATAGAAAGCACCTGTTTGACAACGTCATCGGGAACGTTGGAGGTGGTCTGATCGAGGGATGATTCGTGGCGAAATAGATCTATAGCATCAGCCTCATTGAGGGGTTTCAACACATATGGAGGGCCAAATCTCGACATTGCGAATCTTGATGTCACTAAAATCGTGTAGTTTGGGATTGGGAACAAAAAATTGTCAACAAGTGACAGTGATTCTGGCCAAACGTCATCCAAGACCACCAACACTGGGCTTCTCCCAATTTCTTTTAGTAAACGTTCCAATTGGAAAACCGCATCTTCATCGTTTTGAAACTCTGGTACAGCGTAACCATTGTGTTCAAACAGTCTCTGCGCTATGCTACTCATCTTGGGCGTTTTCCCAAATGTGATGAAGACGATGTTTTGCTTGAATTTACCTACCCAAATCTTACACATTTAGAGTATTGCTAACTCAAGTTTATCTTATTCGACTAGAACAAGTAGAAATAACTAAAATGCAAAACAGGACAAGAATGCTTTTCTATGATTTGTATGCATTTCAGTCTTTCAAAAGCTCTTAATCCTCTTGCATGTTTTACTACATGAACAAGTGAAAACATGTTGGCAACGAAGTGGCATGTTTTGGCTTGATCCTAACAATAATAGTATTATGATGAAATACATTCTGGTTTATCTGATAAACACGATAAAAAGATATAATATGATATTATTTTATACCTTATTTTATTTTCACTATTTGTCATAAATCTATCTTATGTGTTTATTTTATCTTATTTTTTAGTATAAATTTATTATGTAGGATTTAGATTAAAAAAAACAGACACACTAGCATAATAGTGTTGTTGGGTCGAAATAACAAGGGATGAGTATAACAAGTACCGATAGAACGTGTTTCTTAAATTTTTATCCCAAAGAACCCACATATGATTTAATTCCAACGGTACCAACAGCAATAATAGTTAGTGGGAATTCGTACCTTTGACTTCCTGATCGGAACATAAGACTTTAGCTAACGTTGACTTCCCCGAACCTCCTATTCCGGTGATGGTGAGCACGGAGACACTAAGCTGCTCCCGCAGAAACTTGAGTTTCAATTCCATCAAAGGAACTTCCAAGCCAACAGTAAAAGCAGGGGGTTCAGGAGGCGAACACACGCCCCTTAACCCAATCTTTTTCGGAACAAAATTTCTAATTTCTGAATGAATCTCATTCACCTGCACCAAGGTCTCCAAGCTACTCCTCGCTATCCGAGCTTGCATATCTAAATTAAAGAACCTATTAATTTCCTCATCCAATGCTTCAAGCTCCTCTTGGTAATAGACCTTATAACAGCAATTCCACCACTTGACTTTATTGCACTTTAGAACAAGCTTCGTCCCACTCTTCATCCGATCTATCATCTTCTGTGTTTCCTCCGCTGGCCGATCCATTAGCTGGTTTGTAACATCTATCTGGTTAACCAATGGTTCTATTGCTTTCAGAGTACCTCCCAAGTGTTCCAGGGTGGATCTGAATTTAACCGCCCTTTCCTTCGTTTCCAAAACAGCACTCAACAGTTCACCCACGGAATTTCGAACAACCGCTTCTCGAACCATAGCCATGAGTACTGCCCAGAACCAAAAATAATCAACGGTACCCAAAATCAGAAACTTTGATCTAAAAGCTGGTGAGTGAGTTTGAGTCAAACAAACATAGGCGAGCTACATAAAAGGAAGGTTACTATAAAAATTAGAAAACAAAGTTAAACGTAAACTTTTTTGGGAAAATAACGAACAGGACAGAAAGTACTCACAAAAATGCCGTAAACTGTAATAGATTAATTAAACGCAGCTAAGTTGGAGAATCTGAAGCCATCTACAATGCCCGCTGTTTTTGTTCTCACCCTAAACAGAGAATGTAGAAAATGATGGCTGAATAGGTTGCTTAATCTTAATAAAGATTCTCTTCTCTTGTATTTGGATTTAAAGGGTTTTTACCCCACATTTTAACTTGGTCTCAGCCGAGCCCTGTTATGTGCTCACCAACATAGAAGTTTCCCTTTACTATGATTCAATTTGAACGCTATTTTTTATTCACTTTGCATTCGGGTCAGTGTGCTCAACGACAACTTCAATGACCAGTGTTCACATGCGTTTTAACGTTGCCGTATGGACATTAGATAAGACCTGCTCTGAATAATTCGGCATATCAAAAGCAATACTTTCTCAATCAAAAAACATAGTCGCGGTTCTAAATCAAGAAATAAAAAATCATTTAATTATCTGATTTTCATTATTAAAAGTATTATTATAAATAAACATAGGCCTTGAGGGGGAGAACCATTGATATATCAAAAGATCTTCATGGCAGCTTGATGATGGGAATCCATTGGCTTGGAGAGAAATTGGCTTAATTATTGAGTGGCAAAGGATAAGTTGGTCTTGTAATAGTAAGATACATTAACTTACCGACTAACATGTGATAAGCCTCGGGTCATGTAAGGGAGTGCCTGAAGAGTCAACCAATTTGGTAGAGGGCTCCATAAGGGTTGATGCAGGCTTGGCAACAAGCATTCCACTATCTTTCAATAATTTTAGAATATTTTCTCTTCTTAACTAGAACATTAGAAGAAGATCTAGAGATTTTAAGGCCAAGAAAATAACGAAGATTCCCAAAATTCTTGATGTTGAATTTTTTATTTAGATGTTCTTTGACATATTGGATTTCACCAAAATCATTTCCTGCAAGTGGAATGTCAAGTTCTAATAAGGTTGGGGTAAGTTTAAATGAAACTCTTGCATGCTTAATGAAAAGAGAATGATCACCTAAAGATTCAATGAAACCAACTGCTAGTAAGGTTATGCTAAGCGTAGCATACCACTGTCTACTAACCTATTTGAGTCTATACTATGATTTTTGCAATCTAAAGTTCCTTTATTTGGATAAGATGAAGTCATGCTATGGGGCAGAGTCCTATAGACTCTAGTAGCCATTAACATTTCCCCTCAAATTAAGGTTAGTAAGTCAACCAGCAGCCATTTTCCAACAAGAAAGTGGTATCACTACCTAGTCATAGCTTTTATGAAGACATGTGCCACTTGTAGATTTGTTGATATACAAGGAAAAGAAATAACTTTGTTATCCAATTCTTCTCGAATAGAATGATAGTCAACTTCAATATGTTTAGTGTGTTCATGAAACACATGATTAGTTGCAATTTGAATAACATTTGTGTTATCAACACGAAGAAGTGTAACATTAACCTATAAATAGCCAAGCTCTGATAAAAGATTTTGAAAGCCAAACAATTTCTACACATAATTTTGACACAACATGATATTAAACCTCAGTAGAAGATTTTGAAGCACATTCTTGTTTCTTACATTTCTAAGAAATTAAGGCATCACGAAAAAAATATACATCATCCTGAAGTAGATTAACAACAGGTATTAGGACATTTAGCCCAATCAGCATCATAGTATGCTATCAATTGTAGAGATAAGCTAGTGGGGAAAAATAACCACCAAATAGAAATGTCAAGAAGATATCACATGATGTGATAGATAACCTCTTGATGAAGATGCTTAGGATACATGAATTGACCAACTTGATGAACTGCATATGAAATATTAGGTCTAGTTATGGTTAAGTAGATAAGACTTTCAACTAACCTCTATATTGATAGTCATATTTTAATACATCTTTCTCTCTATGTTTTCGATTTAATTGAGTCTTTTTAGTATATTATTTTGATGTGTTAGTTTAGATTTGTGTTGGTAAGTCATTTAGGATTTAAATTTAAATCTTTCTTAATTCCCGCCATAAATTCTTGTTTTGACACAGTTTCTTGAAAAGACCATATCTGGAGTTACACTACTCGGAATTGGAAAAAATTGGTGTCCCTGGAAAGATAAGAGAGAGATCTACAACTTCTCTGTTGCGAGAAAAGCCCAGTTCGAACATATTCAGGCCCAAAACTGCGTCAAAATGTTGCGGTCCTGCAATGAATTTTTCAAAATTTGGTTTTATTGTTGACATTACTTAATTAGGATTTTAGGAACCTCGTTAGGAAGTTGGGCCTTAATTAAGCCCAATTATTTTGTCTTTAAATAGGGTTTATGATTTCGCGTGGGGATCTTCTTCCTTTTTTTTTAGCCTTAATTTTCAGAATTTTAAATAAAAGCTTTCGTAAGGATTCCTCTCGTCTCCCTCTCTTTTATTTTTCGGAAACTTCATCCCCTTCTCTAATTGGTCGAGCAACATGATTATGAAGCAAGGCTAATTCATCAACCGGTTCAAGGTTTCAAAAACTACATTGCATTCGAGTTTCAAAATAGGTTTTATCGAATTCCTCCTTTCCTTCCTCTTTTCTAATTAGGTTAATTACGTTTTTCATGATATGGAATTTTCGTTGCATCCTAAATAGAAAGAATAGGTTAATTTCAGATTTGAATTAATTAGATTCACCTAATTTAATCAATCAATTGTTCTAAAATTTGTTAAAGCATTGGGTTTGCGATTGCGGTTCTTGTTTTGATGGAATTCATAATCTAGATTTAGATTTTAGGGTTGTTGATGCGCATTGAATTAGTGTGATTGGAAATTCGTTGGGATTATATTTGTGTGAACGATGAGAATTGCATTGTAGGGATTGAGATCTTGAATTGGTTGAATTTCATAATCCTTAATTTTTGTTTTTGTTATTTTATCGTTTAAATTCAAAACAAATCCTCCCCCAATCTAATTTGAAATTGCATGATGGAACTAAAAATAAAATGCATTTTATGTCCTTGAGAGATGACCTAGGTTTACTTCTTGTATTGCACAAATTTTTGAGAAAATCTAGCTTGTTTGATACCATTACGACGTGGTTATCAAAATGGCGCTGTTGCCGGGGACATAAGTCATTTTGTTTTTATTTCATCATTCTGTGATTGTGTGTTTTTGTGATTCACTCTTCTGCGTTTGCGTTTTCGTGTGTATTTTTGTTTGTGTTTTCGTGTGCATTTTCTTGGGCGTTTTCGTTTTCGTCGTAGGGATTCTGTTTGTCTTTTTTTTTTTTTTTGTTTATTACATTTAGTTTTGCAGATTTAATTCGTGTTTTTAGTGTTTAGTTGTGTGATTGGTGCCATTGTTGTCAATTGTGTGTGGCTGGATGCGAAAAACAGAGGACTAGTAGGAATAGAAAACATAGATGCTGCATAATTGCTATCAGATTTCACTGTTCATCGTGCACTGTTCACGTACTGTTCACACATTATTCATGCACTATTCATCCGATTTTGAAAAATTCCAAAAAAAAAATAGCTAGAGATTGAATTTTGATCTGAATTTTTGTGTCCATATTTCTTTTAGTGTCTATTAGTGTTTAGAGTTGGTAGATTGCAAAAATCATTTATAGAAAAAAAGATACATCTTGGTGGCCGAGAAAATTTTTGCGAAACTTCAAAGTGACATAACTTTTGCTAGAAAACTCAGAATTGAGCTTTGCATATGCATTTGGGGTAGAAAAAAATTTCCTATTCAATGCAACCCGCTCCGCCGGTTGAGGCTGCCCAGAATTTCAAAAATTGCTTGTTTTCTAAAAGTTTTTTTTTTTTCAGTATTTATTGACCTATTTTTCTTGACTTTAGGCTTCTAGTTCCCATAGCAATTCAATTCAAAAAAATCTGAAAATTTTTGTGGTGTTTTCCCATACCAAAAAGAGATTTATCATGGTCCCCCTTCATTCATATCTTGCATTTTGATGGTACTTGCTTTGTAAACTGACTTTGTGCATTCATTGAGTATTTTCTGTTCTTGTTGGTTCTAACCTTGAATGACCAGGGCCAACCCTGTTATATTGCATGAACCTGACCCTGAAATAGAAAGAATACTTCGGAGGATAAGATCTAGCAAAAACAGTGGTAGTGGTAGCTTACTTGGTGATTCTGAAACTATTACTGTTATTCCTGTTGTTAGGGAGAACATGACTGATAATCCTGAGCTAACTTTGAAGGAATTGGCCACACCTAATGTTGTGTATCAGTCATGGTGTGTCCAATATCCTGAAGATGAAACAACCTCTTATGAGCTTAAATCTGGACTTATACATTTGTTGCCAAAGTTTCATGGACTTGCAGGTGAAGATCCTCACAAGCATTTAAAAGAGTTCCATGTGGTGTGTTCCACCATGAGACCACAAGGAGTGCCTGAAGACCATGTCAAGATGAAGGCGTTCCCCTTCTCCCTGGATGGTGTTGCGAAGGATTGGCTCTACTTCCTACCTTCAACAATCACCACATGGAATCAAATGAAGAGGTTATTTCTGGAGAAATTCTTCCCTGCCTCCAGAACCGCTGCAATAAGAAAAGAGATTTGTGGTATAAGGCAGCTGAATGGAGAGACCTTGTATGACTACTGGGAGAGATTCAACAAGCTGTGTGCTACCTGCCCTCACCATCAGATAAGTGAGCAATTACTAATTCAATATTTTTATGAAGGGCTAACTTTGATGGACAAGAGCATGATAGATGCAGCAAGTGGAGGAGCATTGATGGACAAGACACCACAGGCTGCGAGACAGCTTATTACAAACATGGCAGCCAACACTCAACAATTCGGATTCAGAGGAGTCGCTAAGGGAGTGAATGAGATAGCACTTGGTGCTGGTACTGGTGCTGTTCATGGTGTGGAAAATCAAAGGCTGGAAAACAAAATCAATGAGCTGACCACCATGGTGAGGCATTTGGCAATTGGCCAACAACAAGTGAATCCAGTAAGTGAGCAGCTAGCAAGAGTCTGTGGGATATATACTTCCACTGAGCATCCTACAGATTCATGCCCTACCCTGCAAGAGACGGATGCGAATGTTTCTGGAATTTACACCAACCAACAGCAGCAATATAGATCTCCACACCAACAGCAGAATTATAACCCGTACTCCCAGACATATAACCCGGACTGGAGAGATCATCCAAACCTGAAATGGGGGCAGCA